ATTTTAACCGATAATGTTTAAAAAATAATTTTCGGGGGCAGCCCCCATGGGTCCCTGCCCCTTCAACTCCGGGACCCCCCTAGTTTGAAGGGCTGGCTCCGCCCCTGATCATAGCACCGTGGTTATAGTGGTGGATCTGGAATAAGAATGCATGATAAGAGTCGATGTGGGCACATTTCCGATTCTCTTATTGAGAGTGTGTTTGGTTCACTTTTTGAAAAATGGAGAGAGCTCGACAGAAGATTCCAAGGGTACAATGGTGGCACGGTGGTGGTATTATATTTTGGATGATGAAAGTGGTGCTAAAATAGTATGGTACGGTATGTTAACGAAGTATGTTGCACAATATGTTAGAATACTTGAATGCAATGATATGTTGCCGGGTGACAATGTAGTAGGGCCTTTTGAGTTTGAGAAGATGGTGTTGGTTGGGAAAATGAAGTAGGTTCGAGATCAGAGAAATCTGACCCGATTGTTTGCCGTCACAAATGGCAGTGATGGTGGAAAACAACACAAAATGGGATGGTGCTAGATTTTTGATAACCGTTGATATCCGTGCTAGTTTACGCGCATCTCGATTAATCCCTTGGGACCCTAAAGTTTACGGTTGGGTACTCGCCTTAGTGGCTCTGAGGGAATTCGAACACAATATCACATATATTACATTCTCCATCAAAATACTATTCCATTTTGGGCAATTCGAACACAATATCACATTTCTTCCTCATGCAATTAGTTGAGAGTTCAAGGAATTCAAATTCAAGTGTATTGAACATTTATTATATGGAGGCATAGTAGAAGTATAAAAAAACAGAGTAACCGATGCAGAATTTTTTTAATTTTTAAGGAAAATGAGATAATGTTCATAGGACAAAAAATCTATATTTTGAATTGAAAAAAATCTTTGTTTCTATTTTAATATAAAAATGTTATTTTCATTTAAATATTTAAATGGTGTTACACTTGTAAAAAAATTATGTTTGAGGCATTTTAATAATTAGTCGTCTAGGACCTCAAAATTTTCGAGGCCGGCCTGGATCTTTAGCCTTTATTTGGTCCCCGTTATTTCTAAAATAAATATTTTTTTCTTATTTTCAATTACACATTTTTCAATAAAATAATATCATATGTAAACCAAAGAAATTTCCCCTCAGTGGCTCTGAGGGGATTCGAACACAATTTTATAAGTCACAAATTATTTTGCGGTCACAATTCAAAGATTTTACAAGTCACGATTTGTTTCACAAATCACAAATTTCATAAGTCATTCAAAATTTTAAGTCACATATTATTTATTAGTCACAATTTATCGGTCACATGTTATTTTTTAGTCACAAAATACCCAAATTAATGGTCACAATCTCAAGTATTGGTCACAATCCCTCTTAATTTCACTCAAATGGGGTTAAGTGGTTCGTTGTGGACTTCCAACAACTACCATTTTCCACTTCAAAATCACCACCACAACTACCACCTCACCACCACCACCAACAATATCCAACAAAATCATTGTCACCGTCGCCCAAAAAAATCAACAAATCAAATCCACAACAACAACCGCACCATCAATGACACTGCGATGACCGCCCCACGACCACAACCATCAACCACCACTAACATCGACACCACCACCAACAACAAACACAACAAACAAATTTTTTTTACCACCACCGACATCGACACCACCGGTAGCAAAACCACTATCTCAATACTAAAACCACCACCACCAGCCTACCACTCCAAAACCATAACCCTCACCAAATAAATTCCCAAATCTGTCGCCGAGAATTAACTCCGCCATCGCCATCACCACTCTACAGGTGTTGCTAGATATCTTTAGGAAGCCAATTATAACTGTAACGAGATATAGTGAGCATCGACGTCATCAAAGTTGAGGCAATAGCGCTATGGTAGGGTAGCATTGACCCACCCACGAACTCATCTCAGCTGGATACCGGAAGATGCGGTGAGCCGGGGTTCCTGAAAGGAAGGCGGAAGTGGAAGTGATCAGTCTTCGCTTGGGAGCCGAACCTAGTGGCGACGCTACGAACGGAAGATGATCAGAAAATAGATATGGCAGCGAAGGAAGCGACTGCGACGATCATTTCTTTCGAGGGAAGAGAGAGAGAAAGGAGGGGAAGAAGATGAAATTATGGTTAGATTTGAGTAATTATGATTTAGAGAGAAAATGTAGATGAAATAGATAAATTAATATTTGATTTTTGTATAAATAAAGTTTATATCTGAAATTTGAAATTGTAACTTTAAAATTCTGCTTTNTGAAATTTGAAATTGTAACTTTAAAATTCTGCTTTTGTGTAATTTCCTCTTTTTACTTCCTAAAAATGGACTTTGGACCATCATCCTCTAGTAGATATTCTAATTAGACAGCATTTCCAGAAACTATTCAAATATGTTCATATTTGGCTAATATTTGTAAATTATTTATTATCTATCAAATCACTTTTTATTCACGCATTTTGTGAGACATACAAATATTACTCACTTATTCATCATTCATTTATATTATAAACACTTCCCAAAGATGCTCCAAGAGAAAGGGCACAAAAAATGGATTTTCATTCTCTGCACATAGGTGTAAATGGTTGGATTGGATCGAATTTTGTTACTTTCAAATCAAATTATATAGTGTCTGTTTGACATTTATTAATTTATTTTATGATTTGTTAGATGATTATTTTCGATCACTCATTCACATAATCAAATATTTTACGTGTATACCAAATTTTTATTTTTAAAATTTCATACGGTCTATTAAAATGTCGGTTGATTTAGTTTAAAATCATTTCGTTGTTGTATACCAAAAAGAAATAGACTGCTTTTGTTCAGTTTTTTTTTTTGGAAAAAAATTATTGAAGGTTATTTGTTTAGGAGAAAACCGCCTCTTCGGCAGTTCAAAAATTCCCCATTGCGCTCTCTCATCATCTCTTTCCTTTTTTCTCCTTGCTATTGTCCCCTCTGCGGCTCTGCCTCTCCCTCTCTCCTAGACTCCTACGCTCGCAATTGCAAATACAAATTCTTGAATCTTCACGGAAAAGATTCTGATTTATCAATTTAACCAAGAAATGGAGATTTCGGAGAAGATTGATCTTGCAGCCGAAGCCCTCAGTCTCATGGATCTGTCGTCTCAAAACGACAATCAATTTTCAGGTTCAGGTCCTTAATTTGTGTAGATGCATCTAGTTTGTATGTGTATACGCGTAGTTTTGATTCATCGACGACTGTATGCTCATTTTTCTGTGTATACGTGCTCCGCAAATATTGACTATGTTATATGCAATCGAGTATGGATTGGGGTTCCGGAGCTGGGAATTGGAACGTGTTTGAATTTAATTCCAGTCTTTATATGAAATTTTGTTGAAATTTAGCTTACTAGATTTGTTTTATGTCGGGTTCTTGGGGCATAGAATGCGTGTTTCTTGATAACATTATACCATAGAAATGCCTGAACATAAATAAGAGAAGAACTTGAGGTAGTCTTGACGACTTCTTAATTATTTCCACAATGTACTGATGCTATGTCTTATTTTCTCTATTTTTTTTTTTTATTTTTTGTTTAGCAAGGAATTTTAGATATAATGGTACTTGAATCCTTCTCAGGAAATCAATCAGAACCAAAAACATGTGAATTTTCAGGAGTTATGGGTCCTAAAATGGAAGTGAACTGTACTCTTGGAATTGACGTGGATGACCACATGCCTGAACTCTGCGAATCAACTGATCTTGAAAAAGCGCAAAGAAATGGAAGGTGTAATTTGCGTAAAAGTTTAGCATGGGATAGTGCCTTCTTCAGTAATGCAGGTATTGGTTGTCCATTGAAGCTCAAGACGTGAGTCTAGTGTATGGTTGTACTCTACTCTAATCATTTTTGCTGTTATATGCAAATTTGTTTCGAAAATTTCAGGTGTTCTAGACCCAGAAGAATTGTCCACCATGATTAAAGGAGCTGAAAAGGATAAAAATCATTTATTACCTGGAATTGAAGAGGAAATAAGGAATTCTATTGATTCGATATCCACTCTTGAAAATGATAATTTTACAGTGGAATCTCTTGAGGATGACTTGTTTGTAGACATCAGAGCTTCCATCCAAAGATCCAGTAAAAAAAAGCCCAATGCAACAAATTATATCAGTCAGTCAGCAACCATGGAGATAGATAACCAAGCTATTTCAAGTAAGCAACCTTTTTCTTAATCTTGTGTAGATAACTCTCTGTTTGCACAGTATTAGGTGTGTGCTCAGGAGAATTTGATGGGTTCATACTAAACTGAACGTGAAAACTGCTTCTTCCTTCACATTCACTCGACACTCTCCATTAGTTTTGATTCTTCTGTTCTTAGTTCCAATAATTCGAACAAAATGATAATTTAATTTTTTTTTGACTGTTAAGAGGACATGTTGAACTGCAACCCAATCAATTCTCACGTCACTCTTTTGCAACGTAATATACTACCAACATCTTCACCTATTCTGCGGTTAGTGAAGTCACTTTAATAAATTCTTTCAACTCGTCATCTTACCTTTATTGGAGTAGCTTATGACATCTTTCGAGAAATTCCCATTCTGAAACATACGCAGCTTCGTTCTACAATCACAACCCTACTATGAACTGCTACAATGCTGTTTCTTCTCAACTTTATGTCCTGCTGGGTAACTGCTATAATCACCTTTATTTCACAATTGCACTTGAAGGTGGAAGCCAGATGATCCACAAATTCAAATGTTCCTATGGTAGCAGGGATTTTAATTATTGAAAACAAAAATAATGCTAACCAAATAAAATGGAATATAGTTCATTTGGGCACATGAATGCGTATTGATCTCTGTTGAGGTGAATCGGACATTGACAATGACATGACAACGTACATGGATTATCTTACATTGCTGCTTTTTAGCTTTTTCAAATTTACAGAACAGAAGAAATAATTGCTATTTTCATGTACCAAGATCAAATATTTTTTCTTAACCGCGCTCATGTTTAAACATCAGGAATAGCATTTAACAGACTTGCTCTCTGTTCTTGAGTACAAGGTCAAGTTCTATGCAAATTCTGTTTCTCATGTTCGTGTTTTTGTTGGCAAAAAGAGTTTTATTCATTATTATTTTTTTCTATAGTGAGTTTTATTATTCTGTAGCAGTGCATCTAGTCATTCTTCCTTAATTTGTAAATGGATCCAAAACCAGTATAGTTGTATAACTGGTAAATTATTGTTTGAACTTATACAGCTTTGAAGAAGGAAAGTCTTGCTTCTCAAAATAAGGTACATTCAATTGATTAGAAAGTGTCTCCTGGTAATCATGGCTTGATTGTTGTATTGACTGGTGATTCTGATACCAAATTTCAGCTGCACTCGGAACCAGCTTTAAAGAATACTAGCAGACAAACTATTAGGATGCCAAAATGTCAGCCAAAACAAAATGTTGGGACGCAAGGATCAGGAAAAGTGGTCAAGCAGGATTCTGGCCATTTGCAAGTAACCCAGGCATGTTATTGTTTAACTTTAAACTTTCTCTCTCTCAGTGGTACATCAAAGTATCTCTTAATTATTGCTGTAAAGAAAGAGTAAAGCTTCTGGACACTATGTCTAATCCCCTCACCATGTCATTATACAAACTTATGTTAAGAACATTATACAATACGCACTTCTTGAAAACTCATCCTCTATTATTTTCTCTATTTATATGATGCGAAGTTGGTTTGGTTTATTATGTTTGATAATCTTATATTTGGATTGAGCACCCTCGGAGTGCTGTATTTATTAGAATGCATAAACTTGCAATGCATGATGCTAGCTATCGTCTTGATATGTCAAACTTTCAGAGATTACCAACACACTTTACAACAACAAAAAAAAAATTAGCATTTTTATTTAAAATGCAATTTTATTGTAAAGCATAGATCTAGCAACAACCAAACATAGTGGAAAAAAAGGATTTTTGTAGCTGCTTATCAATAACAAGACTCAGTTTGTTGTTATTGTTGTAAGCAGTGGCCATGTAGTTCCTTTCCACCACTCTGAAGAAAGTCGTCTGTGATTGTCTTAGTGATAATATATATCATGGAATTTCTGATTCTCTTAAATGACCGACGCTAACCATATTTTTGTTTGATAAAGTCTCTTACTAAGATTAACGAGTCAAGTTCATTACGTCCTAAGCCACCGAAGGCTATCAGCAGGGCTACACTCACTTCAACATCAGCAGCAAAGAGGGATTCCATGGGTAGTAGTCGTGTCAAATCTGAAATCGGAAGCTCAAAACTCACTAGTGGTAATGAGCTCACGACATACAGAATTTTTCAGCAGAAGATCAATTAATATTTTTTTGTTTACAAACCGTTGTTAATCACCTTGACGATAACAGTTTCTAACAGAGGGAGTCAGGCATCAAAAGTTCCGGTCTTAAGTGGTGCCAGAAGGGTATTGCCAAAGCCTGCACCATCGTCCAAGTCCTCTTCTTTGGGGTCTTCAACTACAAGCAAGGTGCTGTCTACAAGGTCCTCCACTTCAAGTGATAGCTCTGATAGTATGTTGTCTAAAACCACTGCTAAATCTCCATTAACGACTGTAAGAAGAAATCCAGTGAAGAGTAGCACCATTAGACCAGCTTCCTCTGGTTCCATTCCTAAAACACCCTCAAAAGGACTGAAGAATAAACCACCACCATCCACTCTTTCAGCTTATATGAGGTCAACTAAGATATCCTCAAGTGTAACACCAGCTAGTTCTATTAGTGAGTGGTCTTCAGCATCATCATCATCTTCTTCAACAGTCTACCAAAGGTCTAGTAACTCCAGGAACAGCCTAGATATCAGTTCCTGTCCATCTGTGGATGATAGCGTCATTCCTTTGGGTCTGAGGAATCACTCTACTGATCGAATTGCAGATGAACGTGAAAGTAAGGAAACTGCTTTACCTGGTAGGAATCTAGATAAATCCTCTAAACAAAGTGGTACCCTCCAGGCTCCTGCGAAACCATCAGGACTTCGAATGCCATCTCCAAAAATTGGGTTCTTTGACGGGGTTAGTTTTGTGACCTTTTTTAATACTTGATTTTAGTTTCAAATTATGGCTGTAGTTACATGTTGTACGTCATTTAAAGCTAGTTATATTTATTTTATTTTGCTCAAGTCAATAGGAAAGGTGATATTTATAAGTATTCCTTATTTCATTCTATAACTTTTAGGATTTATGTTTTTTTAACTTAGCAGTACTTGGCTACATTGCAGTCAAAGTCATTGGTTCGGACTCCTAATGGAACTCCGCGCACTCACTCTGGCATGCTAACTAAGAGTGGAGCTGCTATCTGCAGTCCAAAAGGGAGCTCAAACATAAAGCCAAAGAATGGGAAGTTTCCAACAGCTAGAGCAGTATCTTCTTTGGCAAATGTAAAGCCTGATTTTCCAAAAGCTAGGTCTCCAGCATCCTTTCCACAAAGATCGTGCGCATCGACAAATGATTCTTGTTCTTTAACAGATGTAGAAGATTCTCCTAGCTTATCTCCTGAAGCACAAGGAAAAAGAAGTGGAGAAAAAAATTGGAAATCACAAAAAGTTCATGCCAAAGGGTCAGATGGAAATAAGCAAGTTATAGATGCAGATATTGGCGTCGTTATGAATATGAGTGTAGGTGACTTGATTGATGAAGCAGCCTTCAAAATGCATAGAAATATGGGCACGGGAGATATCAAGATTGTTCCTGTTGAAGATAATAATGCTTTGGGCTCTAAAAGTAATGGGCAGAGAGTGGATAAAGATGTATTGGACGACCAAAATCATCTGAAGTGTTCACATTCAATTTGCAAAGAGAATGAAGATCAACGAGAGTTAAGTGAACCAAAGAAAGATGTAAACACAAATGCTTATAGCCAAAAGGATGAACCTTTATCTGATATATCAGACTCTGCTTCTGTCTCTTTCCCTGCAACAGCCTCTACAACTGCAGCCAGCAGAGCGCCATTTACTCTCAAGGATTCGTTTTACAATAGTGAATGTCCTGATTTCTCTAAAGAATCAGCTGAACAACTTGTCGAAAAGTTAGCTGTTCCCTTGCCTACTTCTGAGCAGAAAGAGAACATCTAACACTAGGTTTCACGCTCAGCATCTTTGTTCCTCAGGTATGGTTACACTGTTCTTGATAGATTAATTAGGATCCATTTCTTGGTAGCTCATACTTCCAAATTGACGAATCTCTTCTAGGCTGCTTTCTCTAACAATGAAAAAAAAGAGAGAGAATCATCTTCTTGTTTATCACGTGGACATATGAATCACTTCATGTTCCCGCACTACTGCAGATATTTTTTATTTGACAGTTTGTAGAATTTTGAAAACAAACGGTTAACTGAACCTACTTGTATTTATTCCGTGCAGAGTGTATGATGGTCGAAGAGGGGTACCTGGAGAGTAAGTTTTGTTCAGAGGATGATAAAGAGGCCTCAACAGAACAGAAGGGAAATTTTATACAAAATTGCATATGATGTAAGCTCAACATTTGTTCCATATTAACATTACTAGACAGCTTTCCTACTACATGAAGTTTTTGTACCTACATATCAAACTTTAAGCGTATTATGTCAGTTAAAAGTTGAACTTTATTTATCAAGTTTGTCTCAATGTCACTTTCTGGTGGTTAACTCTATATTTTTCTCAAATTATTTAATAATGCAAATATTGCATCCCAAAAAAATCATGGAACTTGAATTGTCAATGAGACGTTTTGGGAAGGAAACGTAATTTTCATAAAATACAATGGGTCTTCTCTATGTGGATGCCCTTTAAGAAGTGTCTTCGAAATTAAGAAAAAATATGTACATAAAAAATGGCTTGGGAAATAATTTTGGGGTAACGTGCCTGAAAAGGTTGTGTTGCAGCCTTAGTTCATCTTCCCTTTTTTCCCCCTAAATCTCTCCTTTTTCGCTGTTTCTAAGAGAATTCCCATTCCCATGTAACAAAGACGTACACAGTAATTCCTAGAGGAATGATGCTATGGGTACAAGGAATTTTTCACAGAAAATGCACAAAATACAAACAACACGTGGGTCCCATTGTTTTTAACAATATTTAATTCATGTGTGGCCCGCCTCCTCATGTGAGAGAAATTCAAAAAATGATGAAGCTATTGCTTTGTTTTCCAAAAGTTCACCCAATTTCAAGAAAATATGGGATTGTTCTCTTTATATTTCAGTTCTGTGTTTTGAATTCATTTTGAATTTTGTATTTTAATTGTCCATTTTGAAATGTTGAAAATGTATTCCTTTTGACATTTTAAAAAATTGTTTTGAACACACCCAAAAATTGCTTTGAAAATTTTAGCTTGATTATAACTGTAAACACCCAAACAAAGGACAAATTTATCATTTTGAATTTTCTTTGTAAATTTTTAATTTATTTTCAAAAATGCATTTTCAAAAATAAGAAAGATAATGCGTTTTCACTGTTTTGAAAAATCGAAAACAGAAAATGACTTGAAAATAGTAAAAAGAATAAGCCCTAAACTTTTCCATTAAAATTCTAATAATAATTGCTGCATCGGAATCAAAACTAATAATGATAAGTTTTGATCTGAATCCTCAAAAGCTCTATGCTGTGCTATTTATCGAGTTAAAGACAAGCTCTTTGTTAAACATTTCCATTCTTGCTGGCAGCGCATTTGCGTGAGGAATGACAGCGTACAAATTTATGCCAACACAAAGTTGCAGCTGGAAAGAAATGACAAATATTAAATCCACAATATCAAAATCTCAGTTCAGTAAGTTGATGAAATACTAAATTCTTCGCTGTTCGTGAATTTAAAAACATTTTGTCTATCCATCACACTCAAGAAGCACTCAAACAAAAGTGGGGAAAAAAAACCAAAACTAAGACCTAGGCTTTTCCTTCTTCTCCTTGAAGAGAGCCAGGAGAGAAACACCTGACACCTTAACCACCTTAAATCTAACACCAGGAATATCTCCCACGGCATGACCCTTACGCCCAAATCCAGCAATCAACACTTCATCCTGTGGCAGGAACATTAAAGGGGTTGGGTATTAAAGAAAATGAGAAGCGAAAAAATCAAAATAACTAAACTAATAACAAGAACTCACATTTTCCTCAATATAGTTCAAGCAACCATCATTAGGAACAAACGCAGCAATCTTCTTGCCATTCTTAATGAGCTGAACCCTAGCACACTTGCGGATGGCAGAGTTTGGCTGCTTAGCTTCAATACCTCTGTACATAAACATACCAAGTTAAGGACTTGAATCATATCTGAGCCGGAAAAGAATTGACTTTGAAGACAAACAAGGCAGAAGATAGAGTCTCACATCTTTTCAAGCACAATGCCTTTGGCATGAGATGAACCAGCAAAAGGTTTCTTCCATTCATTACCAAGATGAGATTTCTTATAAGCCTTGTCAGCCCACCAAACAGAAGATGCCACCCTGAACTCTTTGCGACCAGCTCCCATACCACGTGTCTTCCTGTAAAGATAATAGTTTACGAAATCATAAATCCACTCAACATGATTGGAAATACTATAAATGTTTAAAGCTAGTTGCTTGTGGAAAACACATAAATTGTAGTCACATCGCATCTCATCACTAAGAACACCATTGGTTAAGCCTTATCAAATTGCTCAACCGTCTTAATAACATGCTGATCCCAATGAAATCTCTAAAACTATCATGTTTTTCTTTTGCTTCTTGCAGGTTTGACATCATATATTGCTCAAGAAAGATACACTACCAATCAAGTAATAAACATTGATGTTTGCAAGGTTTATGTATAAAATGCTTGGACAGATTCAGAATGTAAGTAACAATAGAGAATCCCACAGAAAAAGTCTGTGATAGTAATCCTAATAATCCACAACAAGGTTCAAAAAGTTAAGAACCTCAACGGGCTTCTGATACTTCAGATAACCACATTTGAAACCGAAAGTTAGAATGCACAAGTTAGAATCATTATTCCCCACTTTGAGATATCACTATTAAGGTGCCCAAAGTTTTATGACTACTCAAACACACAAATACAAGACTGTTTATATTTCTAATTACACCCACATTATTACATATTAGCACTTTCTAGAGCTATTTACGTTCACAATTACCAAAGTCAAGTCACAACATAAAATAAATGAATAGCCTACTTAAGAATAGTTACATACAAGCAAGGAAAATTCGAAAAGTAAAGCAATAATCTTTTGATAGGAACTAGGAAGAGTAACACAAAACCTACTATCAAACTCTTCATTGTTTTCCATTTTCTTGGAACTGAAGCACTCGAAATTTGAAATCCCCAATAATCAACTAGTGTCCTCACATGCTAATTTACCAATCAGCGTAACACAACAGAGATTTAAAACTAATCAATCTTCAATTCAATAACACGGAATTATTAGTTTTCCATGAATATAGCTCATAGCTTCTCTGGCTTATGCACTAATTTTTTTTTCAATGCATCAAGAAAAACCTAAACAGTCACGGAATTATATAGGTAAAGAAGATGAATATACACACCCCATTGTGGCAGAGTGAAGAGATCGAACAACTCGAGAGCGTTGAAGGGTAGGAGAAGAGGAAGAGGATGCGCCGAATTGAGTGTAAAACCCTAATCCAAGAGGAACATTACGAATGTGTGAAGAGCTATTATAAGCCTTGCTGGGTTGGGTATCTGAAGCCCAGTGGCCCAATTGCACCAGTTGCGCCAGTTGCCCCTTCGCTCTAGCAGATCACACATAGGATGGTAACAGAGCGGGGCGGCCCGGCCTGCTAAGAAATTCCCCGCCTCGTTACCATTTTAAGGCGGGGCAAGGTGAGGCGGGGCGGGGTAGGTCCTTTCTCCGTTTAAATTTTTTTTTTTTTAGTTTTTGATATTTTATTTTTATTGCCCATATTCATTAGATTTAGACAAATAATTTTAATTGTTACGTTCTATTAGAACTAATGAAAATTTTCATTTAAAATATTGAATTCTAAAAATAAAAAAAAAAATTTAACGGGGCATGGCCCCAGTTACCGGCCCCCGTTTAAGCGGGTTATCCCCTCCCTATTCAGGGCAGAGCCCCGCATGTATCGAGTTTGTCAGATTTTTTTGACATCCCTAATCACACACAAGCCTAAAATATGAAGAGAAAATTTGAACAAAGAATTGAACACTTCAGCCAATTACTACAAAAAATCATTGTTGTACCCCAACAATGCAGAGGCATCTATGTCTATCTCCAACTATTCAAGCATTAGTTCGGTCCTCTAACTATTCAGAAGATTCCATTTAAGTCCTCTATCTATTTTGAAGTGTCGATAGTTCTCCATTTATCTCGAAGACTCAATTTCATCCTCGAACTATTTAGGATAGGCAATTCATCTCCGCCAAATCGGAAGCTGCATTTTCATCCTCCAACTATTCATAGGCATGGAATTCGTCCTCAAACTATGTGAAGCATCATTCTTGTCCTTTGTCTTTAGGAGTAATCAATTTCTTCCCCCACGTATTCTTTCTCTCTCTTTATCACATATACCTAGTTATTACGAATCTCTCCCTCCTCAATATAGTTCAATTGACTGTCAAATGGATTCATTTATTTGTCCTTTTGCTGCAACTTAATTAAAGGTTTGGAATTATGGTGGCACAAAGTAAAAGTTGAGGTAAA